ATATATATATAATATTTTCTAATACTTGTTGTTTATAATTTATTTTGTTAAGCTTTATTTGGTTTATTATTTTATTCGAAGTAATTGAAATTGTCTTACGTGAAAACGTGAGGCCAACAATCGCTACCATGACTTCCAAGCTCTAAACCTTTTCCTAAAAGCACGTCCATACTCAGTGCGTGAGACGTGTGAATATTGGTTGCCCTATTTTGCAATTTCAGACGTAGAACATCCTTCGTTCTCGTAATTTTCGAGATGGACTGCTCGGTACAGGCTGCTTTGACTAGTAGAGCGAAGATAGAACCACAACGATTTTGTAGGCCTATGTCATTAATTAAAAGTTTGATATCACTCAACTACTAAATTAAGAAAGAAGAAATTTTTGAATCTTTCTATCATAGAGAATGCTTTAATATCATCGTTTGAAGTAGACCTAAAGCACTATGAAAATGCTCTATGTAAGAAATGGTGAAAATGAAATGACTTCAATATTGGTACGTTGGTCTTCGTTAAAATAACAAGAATGTTATCGACAAAAAAAGTGTTGAGTTACACAGAATGGAAAATGTGCTTTCATTGCACTTTGTAAAGATATTTTATAAAGATTAAAAATTATAAATTTTGCGTGACGACGTGTCAAGAGGTGATAGGTACCTAGTACGTTACTCAGACTTGCAGCTTTGTGAAGTCCTTCTAAAGACAAGATCACGGTATCTCTGATACCTCGTCTACCACCGTCTCTACTCAATATTCCTTTGTTATTCTGTTCCTTAGGAGGATTCAATCCTGTCGTCAACACGGTCATCATGCTTCCCCAGCAACACGTCAGTACTCTCCTCGAAAGTTTCGCTCCCGCTTCTGCTTCCGGTGTTGGTTCACTTCGAGACAATTGAGCTTTTTCTAATCTTATGTAATCGGACAGAAGCTGCCCGCCTCTCTGACTTCCAGGAATTCCATCCACATCTTAAAAAAGTGAAATTTTTTTTTAATTCTAGATACTTCCTAAAATAATGACAGCACGAGGTATTTGTGCAAAATTAGCCAAAAATATCCATAATTACTAATGATTAAAATTATTAAAATACTGCTACTAATATTTACTGAAGAAACAGAAAGACTGTTATTAAAAAATTGTTTAATCACAAAAATTTTTCCTTATTCTATTAAAAATCTTGAGTGGTCCTAATTCGAAGAGTTCTGAACTCAAAGAGTCTAGGTTTCATTTTTACACAAAATTGTGTATAAATTAAATTTACCAGTTAACACGTTTATCAGGGCGCTGTTCTCCGTATAATGCGGATTGTAGCCACATTTCTCAAGCAAATTACACGCCAGGACTTGCTGGTAAAGCTCAGACAACCAGGTTGCTGAAAGATAGACCAGAACCCCAGATCCATGTACTTCCTCCACAAATTGTTCCTGAAGAATTCAACAAAAGCTCCTTAGAGATCATCAGACTTGCAGAGAAATATTTAAACGAATTTGGACATCGCTGATACCTCGCTAATGGGGACTTGACGATTATCTTCATGATAATAATTAATCCTAATCAATTTCAAATTCAACAACAACGCCGCATAAGTGGCCAAATAAATTCCATCTGCATTCATGATCGTAATCAGTGCACACGAATCCGTACTTGTGTCTGTCTGTTCCTGCATCTTTTGCTGCGTTGTGAAAACTCCTGAAAACGAGAGAATTATTTCAGATTATTATGTATTTGGAATTTAAGGTAAAATCATCTGATAACTAACGAAGCTTATAATTAATAGTTAAAAGAATTATTAATATTATACAAGTTAATATAAAATATTAACATCTAACAAGTTAATATAAAGTATTAACAGGTTGTAAAATATTATTAATATTATTGATTAATATCTTCAAAAACTTCATAACAAAAAAACTTTAAAACAGTAGCCAAATCTCGTGTGAAAATATTATTTTATAATAATAAAATAGTATATAAATAAAATAATATTCTAGACAAAAATATGTTTCAATATTTCAGCTATAGATACTATTATCGTACCTTGACAGTATTCCGAGGCAAAGTTCTGCAAAGCTTCATCAACCTCTATATTGCTTCTAAGACTCAACACCATGGGGATTAGGTCGCTTTTCAACGTCCTGACGAATTTTCTAGCGTTGTGCCTCTCCATGTCCACGTTACATTCGTCAGCTACTTGACGACCCACGTGAAGACACTTTGGTAATTTTTCTAGTCTCAGTCTCTCTCTTTCGTTCTCTATCGCATAGTCGTTGTCTTCCAGGCTGTTCTCTTCTTGGACCTCGTCGGATTCGTTCTGAGGGCCTTCTGTGTCCGTGGAATCGCCATCCTCTGAAGGACCGTGTCCTGAAGAGTCAGAGTCAGAGCCTATCCCCTTTTTCATGAGCTCCAGTTGCTCTCTGAAATGAAATTGCCAATGATTTTTACGAACTCTTTTTTAAATTTCATCTTTGGAAAATGTGATTATTCATCATTCGAAGGTCTTCTGATATGTTATAATTTATACAATGTTAATTTAATTTTTTCAATTTAGAAAACATGCCTCTTCCAATCTACTAATTAAACCTATCAATTTATCAATTTGATAATTTAAGAGCAAAATTCATAAGGACGAGTTGTATGATTATTTCTATATTATCTACGTATATTTGTATCTATGTGTAATCTTTAATCGCTCGAAAAAGTAATTACGAAAAGAAATTCATCGTTTGAAAATTGCGTGATTTTTATACTTGATGCTTTCTTTTACGAATTTTTAAATTTCACAACAATATTAAGTTCTATTTATATTACAAACACATTGTGAAGATTTTTACTGACTAATTTTAGTATTTTTCCAGATAACATTCTTCAACGCAGAGGGTTGAAACTCACCTGTAGGTTTTTGGCAACCGTGCCATGCTCTGGTAAGTCAAAGGTCCCTTGTAGTCACAGGATTCCAAGTCTTCGTATAAACTATTGATCGTGCACGTGTAGGTGTGATTAATGGCCTTCCCCTCGCATAATTCCTGAAGAGCGGATAGCATTGCAACTACGCACGACACGCTAGCGTGCAACGTACTCAAACCACCAGTTGTTGATTCCTCGATTGAATCCATAGCTCTGTATTGAAATGAATGAATGAATTAACTTAAAATTGGAAAAAAGAATAGACTGCATTGTTTGTTAGCTTAAAAGTAAAATTTCAGCGGTGCAGAACATTTTTCTCTAGTAGTTTAATGATAACTTACAATCTCATCAAAGCCATGTCGCTCTGGATATGACTAGATTTGTCTTCTTCCACTAATAATGGCCCAGCAAAGTCGACCATTCGACTAGGACTTCGCAGAAGCTCCTTCAAAGCTTTCAAAGGTTCTAAGCGCTGCTGGGGTGGAGGGTACAGTAACATTCTGTGAAATACTGATTCTAGAACTGGACGAAGGGGACCCACGCAGCCCACTAATCGAACTAACTCAGTCCCAATGCTGAAAATATAAAAACATTCAAATCACTTTGAATATCAAGTCTTTTGTAAACAATAATTTTATATGTACGAAATTTAATGATGTCTAAGATTATATACCTATAAACAGTTTTAGCCTGATGACTATCAAAGCTCAAAGAAGTGGCCAAATAACCAGATCCTCTTCCAATTTCGTTTTCTTTTCCTTCCCTGGACGTGAACGTTTTATCGACTCTCGGTGTACCTAGAAAAGCTATCAACGCAGGGCAGAATTTCTGCCATAGGAAGGTAGTGAAGTGTGCGTTCGTATGGATTTTCTGCGGTAGGGAAGAGATCAAGGTATGCAGGCATTCCAGTAGAAACACCACGGTGTTTCCGTTTCTTCCATTGCTGCAATAAGATTTTCTAAAGTTTATGTGTATTCGATTAATATCGATATCTTTGTTTCGTACTTTTGAGCTTCGTCCAACTTGCTGCAGATGTATTGAAGAATCGGCAGAGCTTCGTTGAAACAGGAGACACCTCTTTCCCATAAATTCTTATTCTTCTTTGCGTTCTCATCCATTTCTTGACACTCCTCGTCTGGGAAGTACAATTTTTGATTAATTCATTGGCTGCGAATTAATGATAACAAAGAACAGTAATTTCCAAATATAAAAAAATATATAAAATATTTAAAATACCTGAAATGAAAGTACAGATATTATAAATAAAAATTATGAATTATTATAATTATAAAAATTAGTAAAAGTATAGGTAAACTACAGTGATATCCAAAATACTCAAATATCTAAAACATTCAACATGTTTTGTTTGTCATTTCTTTAGCCACATTCATAAAATCATCCGTGATTTATTAATGAGTTGCTCTAACTTTCAGGAAATTCATGAGCATGTTCCAAAGGAAATAGCTCAGCAATCACGGAATTCCCAGTGAACGTTTCACTCCGGTCACGCAAGCAGAAATTTATTGATCAAACTTTCGTTCAACTCTGCGATGGAGTATCTGATAAATTCCAGAAAACGATCACGAAATTCTAACACGTGTTCTGAATGGATAACGAAGAGTGTGATTACCTAGGAACAGGCAAAAAGATCGCAAGGTTTGACTGGTTGCAGCTTGAGCCGCGGTTCTCACCGCTTGATTCCCATTTTCGAAAGCCTCGCAGCAGGTAGTGAGAATGGCAATTATTAAACGACCGTTCATTGTCCAATAAGAGGAACAGGCGACTTGTAACAGAACCTGCACATTAAGATTAGTTACGACACGGAATGTTTTTTTAATTAATTTGAAAAATTTATTATTTTAGCCTTTAAATAGTATCGTGAGTTCATAAATCATTAATATAGTAGAGAATTATTTACATTAAAATTGAGAACAAAATCTTGTAGAATTTGAAATCGAATTTCTAATTTCAACTCTTCAAATCGAAGATTGATAAATATAAGTTACATACGCAATAAATTGCAACGACTAATATTTAAGAAGATTGTAAAGAAAGTCATAAGGCAAGGAGTTAATTACTATATCTCATTTTACTTGATTTGTTAGTATCATGAAGTATAATACAAAGTCATTTGTCAGTATCATGTGAAGTATAAATAGAAAGTTAGACATTGGATATCCCATAATTGAATTTAGACTCACTTTCAGCATGTCCGTTTGCGTATCGTCTGACTGTGACAACATGGAACTCATCGCGTGCAACATTTGTGCGGGAAGCCAAAGAGAGTCGTCTTCTGGCTCGTAGGGTGACTGGAATCTGTCGTCTCTTAACATTTTCTGAATTTTCGAAACGTTTCTCTCAGTTAGAAATTACTCATTTCGAACAGACTGCGGATTTTATGCAAATTTATATCTTTTTAATTCAGCACAGATTAACTTTCATTTACTAGATTTATAAGTAATTATATTATTATAACCGTAAATTTGCTATAAATGTTTAAACTCCATTTCCATCAATTCCACTTTATTCATTCAGATGTACAGTTTAAATATTAAAAAAAAAATGAAAGTAATTGTACTTTCTATTTCTTATCAGTCAATATGAATGCTTATGTATAATGATTTAATAACTAATAATTTTTATAAACGTGACTAAAATTTAAATTTTGCACGAGCTTGCATAAGTGTATAAAAATCCAATTACGATGAATTTCAAATAAAAAAAAATATCGTTTATTTATTTAAAAAACAATGAAATATCTGTCTTGGATGGAAATGAAGAGAAGTAAAAGAATACCACGTGAAACCTTGTTTGAAAGTGTCACAGCTGGTCGCTGATATCTCATTTTATCGCTAAGTTCCTTCCCGCGGGCGGATGCGTCATTTACATGTTATATGATACAAAACTAGCACGATACAAAACGTGAAGGAAAAGAAGAAAAGAAGAGACCGAAGTACTCACGTGTAATCCTGACAGACCAAACGCGACGAATTTGCTCCTCTTCGTTTCTAATGCTAGCTGAAAGGTATGTAGACATTTTGCCCGCAGCTCGTGGGGTGGATCACGTAACAGCCCCTGCTGCTTGTCCAGGAAGTCTAGAAAAAATACGTTAAATTAATCAATAGAAAATATTTGTTTCAGAATTTTCTAAATCCTCATTTTAAATTAATGAAAAGAAGTACTTGATGAATACGAGAAATTGTAATTGATAAGCGAATGGTAGATAAGATATCACAGAGGGTAATTATCACAAGTGTCTCTCAGCTTTAAATTGGTGAAACAAGTGTCACCAGCTCGTTATAAGAATATATTAAATTGACTCACCGTACGCTTCCTGCGCAGACTTCCGTAAATTTTGTAGTCTTGCATTGCTGGATTCTCGGACGATCTGCAGCAAGAGATCCTCCATGTCACGGTGGACTAACACGCGACTGATCGATAACGGGAGTGCCAATGCACGCTTGGTTGTACGCGCGCATCCAGGGCCGTAGAAACTGTCTCACGCGAGAGAAAGTCATATCCGTCTTGGGAAATTAAATAAAAACCCTTGAAATCCTCAATATCTCATCTTACGACGCTAATTTAACAATATAAATAAATACAATATATATTTCTATCGAAATTCTTGATTCCTTGAACGACAAACTATAGCTAATGATCACGCTTGAATTTCCTCAGTTATTATTGAAATATTCCACATTACATTTACGTTCCGTGCGCATATGAATACTCACCAAAGCTACTTTGTAACTTCATTAAGAGATCTAAATTAAGTTTCACGGTCTTTTTGTAACTTTTATCGTTGAAAAATCAATTAAAATCGAGCTAATTTTCATCCGACTGACAGTTCATTTTGAAATTTGACGAATGATGGCGCGCTAATAGCTCGAGTTGTCACGTGACCAAGTTCAGTCGATTGTGCAAGATGGCGGCGGATAGTGAGAGGAAGCGCAAGTCGTACGGTGAGAAAAGCCGTAAACCAGTGAATATGTACAAATTAGCAGTGGATTTAATAGGTACAGGCCTCCTCGCGAACGACGAAGGCTAATTGGTGTGGTTTCCTGGTCAGCGTTATCATAAAATCATCTCGTGACAGGTTTGGCATTTGGCTTTTTCCATCGGTGGCATGTGTCGACGCTGTTCGAAAATGACCGGCATTTCTCGCATCTGTCCGAGATTGAGAGAGAAATGTCCTTCCGCACGGAAATGGTACGAGACTCGAACGATATCTGAGAAATTGACCGATTATTTGCGACGATAACCAGGTATGTTTTGTTCTTGTTTCTGTACAGGGGATGTATTACTCGTATTACAAGACGATCGCGGAGTCGAAAACGTTCATGGACGGACTAAGAAAGATCAGCCACGATAACATTTCGGAATACGGAAACGTCATTAACGCAGCTAGAAAGTATAATCTGCTGCCAGAGGTATTGTACTTCGATGATGAGTTTCCATTTTTGGTTAGGTTAACTCTGCTGCGTTCTTCCACTTGTTTTACCTTTTGCCCAGTAATCTACCAGTAATAATAATTCAGTCATCTAGTGTCAATTCAATTGCTTTCCACTTTAATTGAATATATTTTTATTGAAATAAAATCAAAGCATAATGTTACTTTACCAAAAATAAATTTAAACGAAGTAATCGAATTATTTTTGGTAAAATAAACTGAAGTCAACTGAACAACAGAGCTGCCTCCTTATTGTCAAGCAATCGCTTTGATTTATAAACTTTGTTTATAAAATTTCATTTGATTTGGTACTAAATTTGTTAAATTTAGCACTCGTGTTTTATAATAATGTTAATACTGCTGTAATTGTGTCTTTCTTTGGCCAAAAAGTATAAAATATATCAAGATTATGCTAAAGTTCATCTTTTCTTCTCTTTTCTCTTGAGATGATCTTTCAGAGATGTTGTTTATCAGAATTGTGAATTAAAAATGAAAACATAGAAGTTCGAAGGCTGTAGCAGAGTTCAAAATCTTAAAGAGATATAAAACAGAGTTGATAATTTACAGTTGGTAGCTGGATATCTTTATCATTGTGCCAAAAATCTGGGGATCATATCCATAGAGCAGTGTTGGCAAGTGAGATTTATATTTGTATAAATTAGCCTACAGAGTCAAATAATTGTAATAATAATAATAATACTGTCTATAAAGACTCTGTATGCATTAAGAAATTCAATGCATTCACTTCCTATGGGAGAACTAGAAAAGAATCACTTTCAGATAGAAAGAGGAGAAGGTTTGCCACCGGTGACCAGTTGCGAGGGTCTTGGTGTTCCAGTTTATTTTTACTTAGAAATCGTTTGGGTTTTCACTATATTTACGGTGGCTATATTATTCTACTATGCGGTATTCCTTGGTAATAGCTTGAACAGTGGAATCATAGCAGTGCTTCTCTTTTTTTACAATCATAACGAATGCACTCGTGTTCAATGGACTCCACCGTTAAGAGAGAGCTTTGCATACCCTGTATTGCTCTCTCAGATGTACATGTTGACTGTGATTATCAGAGAGAGCACTATAAGGGACCCTCAGAAAGTGCCCAAAGATTTACTTCAGGTGTGTTAACCAAACATTGATGCAACTAAAGTATTGTTTTGTATAAAATAACAAACAAATTTAATCATTTCAGAAAATGGGTATGGCAACAATAATTAGTTTATGTTGCTGGCAATTCTCACATTTCGTATTCACCACACAAATCATCGCCCTGTTGATATTGAAATGGATGAAAATAATCCCTAACGATCTTTACAGATCTATCTTTAAAGTTCATGGTTGGTCAATTTTAATAACAATGGGTATCTCAGATGGTTTGCTCTACTCTATGTATTGTTACCTTCTACTCGTCAGCAATGTTATAAGTTTGACAGAAAAACTGACTCGTTGCATGGGCACAAAATTGCAAACGATATTCGAGATCTTTTTCACAATTGCATGCATGGTGTACTTAAAAGTATTATTATCACTCTCGACGTCGTTGTTCGAAGACAATGCGCACGTATTTGATTTACTGAAAGCAAAACTGACCGGTTACAAAAATTTCCATACGATGTTGTACACATGCTCGCCTGAGTTCAGTTTCCTCCAATATAGGAGCTATGAAGTGATCATAAAAACGTTGCTTCTGCCGTCTGCTATACTGGCCGGGATACTGGCGATGTATTTTTGGTGCAGGAATTACAGAATCAAAGGATACCCTAGATGTATAGAGCCTGATCTGGCTTATAACGGCCTGCAAACCGGCGCTTTCATTATCATGGCGGTTTTCATCATGAGACTAAAGCTATTTATGAATCCACATCTCTGTATAATATCTGGCATTGTATGCGCAAATAGATACTTGGAGAAGCTTGGATTGAAGAAAGAGATGACCAAGACTGCCATTACTCTTTTACTGATATCTGCGATGTCCTATCATGGTTTAGAGAGATTGCACGAAGAACGAAGTATTATAGGTAATTGTTAAGCCAAAGAAAAATTTATTAATCCATTAAGAAGTAATAAAATTGTATATAAAACGTAGTTAAGTATTATTTAAAAAAAAATGCAAATAAAGTAAAAATATATTAGAATAATAGATATATTACAGAAGTATATTAGATACAAACAAAATTTTTATGATTTAAGAAAAAAATAGTTTATTACTTGAGTTTTTTTTAATTTCGTAAAATTGATTCAGTAAAACCCAATAGTGTGAATTGATTAAAAAGGAATTAGAAATGAAACATAATTCTTAATGGATTAATTGTCGTATGTTTTACACATGTTTTACTGTGTGATCAATAGATTAACTATCGAAGATTAGATTATTACTGTCACGAATGTTGAATATTTTATTTTATTTAATAATTAATATATATAAAATATAAATTCATAAAAATCTGCAGTCTAGTGATATCTATAATTACTTAATAAATTAAATTCTCCATATAATTTTATGTATTATCACTACATAATCTTTTTATTTATTGATCTCTCCTTGTGACGGCAAGGTGAGTACAGCGACATTGAGCAAGAGGAATTGTTTGAATGGATCAAGAAGAACACACCTGAACACGCTGTGTTCGCCGGCAAAATGTCTTTAATGGCAAATTTAATGCTCTCCACAGGAAGACCCATTGTCAATAACCCTTACTACGAGAGCAAAGAAATGAGGTGTGTATAAGTTTGCCATTCCCTGTATTGTTATCAATCTCAATCTTTATTATTATCTGATTTATATTCCAGAGATCGGACAATGAAAGTTTACGAGATTTTCAGCAGAAAAGACGTTACATCCGTGTACTTCACCTTGAGGAATCTTCACGTTGGATACGTTGTGTTGGAGGAGGCACTGTGCTTTGGTTTCGCGAATCTGTAATGAAATATAAAAATTAATTTAATTCATTAAGAGCCAGGAATTCTTAATTCATTTAATTTAATTCTTCAATTAATTTATAGTTCAAATGTAATTAATTTACATTATTTATTATTTTGAACTTCAAGAATTTATTTAATATTATTTCCCCACTTGAAAGAGCTGAAGTATTTACAATGCTCTGAAAATTATTCCTTGCTCCTTAATGAATTAACAAGTACATGCTTTTAATTTTTTTTTTTTTTATTTAAATGAAATTCATAACTTAAATTTCAAAGCATATTTTCTAAATTTTATGTTTCAGACAAGCAGAATGTCAGATGATTGATTTATGGGACCTGATAGACAATGGAACCGCGAAGGCAGCTGGCAAACAACCTCTATGTCCAATCCTGTTTCAAGGAAACGCCTATCCGTTTAAAAGAGCCTTTGTAAATAATCGTTATGTTGTTTTGCAACTCGATTACTCCTATTACGTCGAGCTGAAGCCCAAAACTTCCCTCAACTACCATTCCTGAAGGTGTTCCGATCAATCGACTGATCGAATTTGACAAATCGAAGATACCTCGCGCGAGACTACAGAGAATATTTTTCCCAAGAGAGAGGCAGTTATGTATGATACATATACATATTATTTTTTAAAAGAAACATTGACTCGTCAAAGTGAGCCAAAGCAACTTTGTTAAACAGTTAAGAGTAAAATGTGAATAAAATGTTAACTACGTTTCTGCGAACTTCGCATCTTTGTTCCTCTACATTTGTATAACAAATGTTAATTACATTCCTGTGAACTCCGCACCATCGTTCCTGCATCATCCTACACCTTCGTACGCGAAGTAACACTTTGTGTAAGCTCATGTTTTTATGTAACTCCATTTTTTACACTTTGCTACGAACGCATGTATACATTCAACGAAAGTTATCGTGAACTATGAGCACATACATGCGTTTGACGATTGTTTTTATCTTACATACAACTAAACATTTGAAATGAACACATATAATTAACAAATTTCGTTTTAACAATTTGAATAATAAACAAAATTCTACGAACTTTTACAGATGAGACGAGCAAGTTCCTAGTAAAAGTTTCAACGCGAAAAAGTATCCTCTTCACGACGATCGCGGCTACAAACTTCATGTCACAAAGACAGAATAC